CCTCTCGTGTCGCTGGCTCTGGTGTTGATGCTGTGACTTATCTTGATGCCCGAGTTGTCTGGCCATGGCCAACGGGCGTGCCCTCAGTGTGCTTCCTGAACTCGCTGCTGTCCCCCTGGGATGTGTTCTTTGCTTCCTGGCACACGAGCTGTTCCACGCTCATCCTGCCTATTACCTGTCCCGGCTCTGGCATCGGCCATTTCTCCAAGGAGCCCCACCTGGGTGCTAAGAGTCGCAATGTGTTTCAGCGTCACTGCCCCCAGCTAGGGGACACCTGTGTGCACTCATCCAGGCCTGTGTATGTGTTGTAACACGCACACTCTGCTGAGCCTTCATTTATTTATCGTTTGTTTAACTTGAAACTCCATACTTATGTCTCCAGTTTTCTAGTCCCACACTGCAGAATTTATTCCAGTTCTTGCCCCTCTCCACCCTGTATTTGCACCTCCCTCTCCAACAGTGAGACAATATTTACCTGTTTCCTCAGTTCCCCTACACTTAACCAGTCTATAGCCATTGTCTCCACCTGCATGGCCCCCTGCTGGGGTCCAGTGCCACACACTGGGTCTCCCCTCCCTGCCTGGCCTCCTGTAGGAGCCTACCTTTCCCTTCAAGGGCCCTGGTACCACAGCCACTCTGTTACTGGGTGAGCACCCTTTTCACCCACATGGGCCCTGACAGCCTGTGCCAGGCCCAGTGGCTCCATCCTGTGTATGCACCTGCCCTGCTCACAGACAGCCGTTTGGCCCAATTGTTAAGGAGAGGGTGACAGAGTACACAGAATGTTTTAGAAAACTGACCATGGCTGCTGTGTGGAGAACGGGCCCTGGGGAGCCTGTCCAGTGGCCAAGTGTGAAGGACGCAGAGAGGCAGGGCTGGTGTCAGGCCCCATCTGCTGGATTGGGGAGCCATGGATGCTGAGCTGGAGAAGGAAGGACCCCCCAGCCTGGAGGGATCTCGCACTGGGGCTGGAAGGGGAGGTGGGGCTTGTGAGCTCTCTGGGAACGTGTAGTTGAAAGGCGGTCCCAGGGATAAGCTGGAGAAAGCAAAGAGCAGAGAGGGGCGGCTGGGTCAAGGTCAAGGGTCAAGGTCACAGGAAGCCTTAGGGATTTTTTGGGCACCATGGCGGCTTTGGCTTGTTGCTGCTGAACATGTGTGGTGACTGGGAGACGCTCTGGACTGGATGGACACTTGAGTGCCTGGGTGTTAGCTGTCATGCCAGAGGTACACATCTGCCTGTCAGTTTCCATTCCTTGGTCTTAGAAATGTCTTCTCCACTGGGCTTTTCTGTTTCAAACTTAAGCAGCCATGGTGGATGTGCTGGAGGCAGAGCTTGGAGGTATCACTCCACGATCTACACACTGAGCTTTGAGGCAGGCTGTGGGATCGGCTTGTATGGGGTGTGGATTTGCTCGCTGAACCCTTTCGGCCTTGGGTTCTGGGGCGTGAATGGCTCTGTAATCCGAGGAGCTGATGTGCCCAGGTCATCCTGACGGTGCCTTTGGCGCTGTGTCTTCCTTGGATGTGACTTGTGTTTCCCTGTGCTCAGCCAGGCCAACCTTGCCCTGCACTGGCCTCCTTGGCCTGCTGGGAGCAGGTGGGGCTGCTGCGGGGCCCCGTGATGGGATAGGAGGTGGGGCGATCCCAGCTCTGCCCTGGGTGGCGAGGGGCTATGCAGTTGTCTGCTCACAGCCTTCTCACAGTCCTTGCCTTGTGCTTCTTGTCCAGCTGTTCAGTCAGGAGACGGTGATGAAGTTTGTGCCGCGCTACAGCCTTGTCCTGGAGCTCAGCGACAGCGGGGCTTTCCGGAGAAGCCTGCACGACCCCGATGGCCTGGTGGCCACCCACGTGAGCGAAGCGCATGAGCATGATGGGTACCTGTACCTGGGCTCCTTCAAGTCCCCCTTCCTCTGCAGACTCAGCCTCCAGTCCGTGTAGCCAACCCGACAGCTGTGCATGCAGGGAGTCAGCCGCTGGGAACCCTGCCTGGCTCAGCTGGAGCCGGGGACGCGGCGCTGCCCACCTGCGCCTGCCAGTCCTCGAGGTGTGGTGGCCACGGCGGCCACGACCCCCAAGGCTGTGTGGGTCCCTGAGGGCCACCCCTCAACTTGGGCTTGACTTTGGGTTTAGAGGGAAGCATAGCGTACCTGCCGGGGAAGTCAAATCTGTGAAGCCATTCTGTTTTTTTATAAAAGCTTTCTAAGTACAGTAATTCTCTAGGGCCTAGGAAACACCATGCACTTTTAACAGGCTCGGGGTCGGTAGACAGAGCTGTAGGGGTCTTGTTGCTCCTGCTTCTGTCCTGCCAGCTGCAGCATCTGGTAGAAAGTGGGGCATGGAAAGGCGGGAGGGGGTGGTAGAGCACAGGTCACGTGCATCGGGGCCGCTGGGAGCTGTGTGAGCTGACTTGGGAGCTGTCTTCTTGAGGGTTGTATGGGACGTGGGCCCGGGTTCCTAGGTGTTCATTCCATATAGCAGAGGGGCATCAATCCCATCCTCCACCTGCTCCTGCCTGGCCTTCCTCTGCACCAGATTCTCTCACGGATAAGATGCCAACTGGGACACCCACAGCCTGAACTGGAGTCCTGATTTTAGCTTCTTGCTAATGTTTCACCTGGGAGGGGTAGTGGTGGTTCAAGCATTTGGGTCCCTGCCACCTGTGTGGGACACCTGGATTTAATTCTTGGCTCCTGGGCATTTGAGGGAGTGAATCAGTGGATGGAGGTTGTCTCTGTTTCTCTCTCTGTCTCTGTCTCTGAAGTAAGGTAAGTAAAAATTTGAGAAGACTCCTGAGTGGGTGCCCAGGAAAGGCAGACTGTTCCCAGCGGCTCAAGGGACTTCCTGGGTTTGTCTGTGAAACTTGGGTGGCCCAAGCACTCAGCACCTGCTGCAGGAGTGTGTTCAGGAGTGTCCTGTGTCCCTGCTTTGTCCTTGACCTCTCGACCCACAGATGTGAAAAGTGCACGTGTTAATGTCACATTTGCTCTAGTGTTAAAAGCCCCAAGTTGCTGTGTATCTTGACAAATACGTCTCCACACTGGAATTAAATTTGCTAATAAATAAAAAAACTAAAAAGACTTTTCGGATGATTAACCTTTTCTGATGGTGTGGCCGAGGACGGTGGCTTTTTAACAGCAACTGAAGGGAAACTGCGGGACCCCTCTCAGGGCAGGGCCAGGGCTCAGGCTGCCCACCTCCAGCACCAGCTCATCCTTTGTAGTCAACACTGCACGGTCTCCTTTCCTTCCTGGGTGTTGGTGAGGGCACACACGAGATGGGTTCTCAGCAAGTGTTTGAAATAACTTGATAGATACAGCATTTTAAATAGGTAATAGCACAAGCGTTAAGAGAGAATTGGTAGGTGTGGTGCAATTGGAACCATTTTTGTTGTCACAATGGGCAGGCCTCAAGTTAGCGGTAAGCCAGCAGGCTGATGGCTGGTTAGACAAGAGGCAGAGGTTGGCATTAACCCAGTTGGTGCAACCTATGTCATAATAGATGAAAACTGTTAATATTGTTTTATATGACCCGCAAGGCAGCAAGTTGAATACTCATTAAATACTTTTTAATAGCTCACAATGAGCCTCCTATCGTAGATAGACAAGAACATTAAGGGAATACCCAATTATTCTTTTTTTTTTTTTTTTTTTTTGGACAGGCAGAGTAGACAGTGAGAGAGAGAGAGACAGAGAGAAAGGTCTTCATTTTTTCCATTGGTTCACCCCTCAATGGCCACTGTGGCCGGTGCACCATGCTGATCCATAGCCAGGAGCCAGGTGTTTCTCCTGGTGTCCCATGCGGGTGCAGGGCCCAAGCACTTGGGCCATCCTCCACTGCACTCCCTGGCCACAGCAGAGAGCTGGCCTGGAAGAGGAGCAACCGGGACTAGAACCTGGGGTGCCAGCGCCACAGGCAGAGGATTAGCCTATTGAGCCGTGGCGCCGGCCCCCAATTGTTCTGTCATTAAAAAAGCTTCTATGGGCTGGGCCTGAAGGTTGACTTTTCAGTTCAGAACAGAGCTTTGGCTTTTACTGCTTCATTCTCACCACGGAAGAGAAGCTGGGAAATTGTTTTTTCACGATTTTGAGCAAGGGAGTCTCGACTTTGACCCAGGTGTTGATTCTCTCTGTACGTGTCACTTCCTGTGTTTTACGTGCTAATTTAGCATGGCAAAGTGCAAACTGCTCTTCTCACTAGGTCGGATATGCTTTTGCTGTACACAGAAGTGGGGTTTGCTCCAGTGTGAATCACTAGCACCCATGGAAAACTAGGCAGGTGACCCACAGCTTGCCTCTAGTGCCCATTACAGAACTCCATCAGGGTTCAGTTACTGCCTTTTGCAGGACGGGGATCCCTGTCTGAGCACTTTATGATCATCACACACTGGCAGAGTGATGTGGATGTTGAAAGTCTTTCACATCCACCGACTTTTAAATGACAGGAGGCAACGCGGTCTCATTGTACAGCTCTCAGAGCTGTGGCTGGCATACAGCTGAACCAAGACTCCCGTGCCACGGCTGAGAATGCCCTCCTGAGGCTGGAGAGCCGGTGACAGGATGGCCTTCTCAGGCCTGGCTGGGCAGTGGGTCGCAGCGGGGCTCTGGCAGTGAGGCTGCTCGCCGATGGCTCCCTGGGGAGTGGTCCCAGCGCTCTGCCCCACCTGCCCATCCATGCAAGGGCAGCTGTGCATTTGCCAAGCCCTTCTGATCCCTTGGGCCTCAAGGGCAGCACAGAGGACTCTGGTGGAGCCCACCCTCCTCATGGGAAGAGAGCACAGCTCAGAGCTGGCAGCTAGTCTGCCTTGCCAGTTCTTCCTGCCCACAGACCTGCCTGATTGTGGCTGCATTGGTCTTCAGGAGGTTTTAGCTGGCAACAAAAGGGCTGGACAGTCCCAGAGCTTTATGGAGGCAACTTAACTCAGACAACTTGGTGAAGGGAGCCCCTCACAGCACTCACCCGCCCTTCCTGACCACACCCTTTAAAAGGTAACATACACAGCCTTTGCTTTGAGATGGTCAGCTCTTTACTTAGCATTGTGCATCCACACAAGGTCCTGATGCCAGGAGCATGCTTGCTTTCCCTGCCTCCCACCTTTCCAGTGCTGCTTGCTGAGACCCTGGGTGGATGCTGGGACCCCCACTCGCTGAGGTCAGCCTGTGTCTGCTGTGGCCCCGACTCCAGTGACTTTGATCCGAGGACTCGGTCCCCTATGCTCCGGCCCTGGGTCCAGGTGCGAAGCATCAGCAGAACAGCTGATTGGAGAAGAAAGTGCAGTGTAACATAGGTAGCAGTGGGCGCCGCCCTTCTGTCCTTGGCAGCGACCTACTGGATCATCCATCACGTGTCTGTCGCAGCCACGGTCTTGCCCAGGAGTCAGTGACAGCGGAGAACGGGTACCTCCACCTTCTGGAGCCAGGGGATTACCCAGACCTCGGAGTAGCAGCTCAGGGTCTGCAAGAAACAAGGGCCCACCTGGGAATCCACCTGGCCGCCCCGGACCCCTGCCCCAGATTGCCGCATGCACACACACACCTGTGCCCGAGGGACTGCTGGCCAGTTACAGAGTCAGCATGCGTGTGTGTGCGCATGTGTGCATGTACATGCTCCTCACCAAGGCATTCTCCCCCAATCCCCACTTTTTATTCTGGAAAATGTCAAGCTTAAGAAAACTTGAAAGGATGATTGAGGACATTTACTTTGCACCTACATCTTGCCACATCTGGTTTTTTTCTCCCTGCGGAGAGAGGTATCATGTCCTATACACTGCATATACAGCTCTATCTATCTATGCAATTTCTGAGTGATCTCAAAGCAGGTCTTCTCCCACCCGTCTACTCCCCTGTTCTCCCACATCATGGCAGTGCAGGAACTCAGGAGGTGATGCTAGGGTACTGATGTGAGCAGGGGCTCAGACCTACCTGCTTCAGGGTATGGTTGCTTTGGAAGTCACAGTTGTCCAGCTGGGCGTGCGAGGTTTTCCTGCAGGTGGTTCGGCTGAATTCCACCTCAAGCATATATTTTAGGCCTTTCACTATCTGCAGAGAACGTGAGCAGAGGCTGGTGTTTTAAGGCTGGGTGGAAGAGACGGCAGCTCCTGCACCAACCAGCACTGGTGTGCCGACACAGGTGAGGAGGGAGACAGCTGGTGTGGAGGTCAACTCGGGATCCCCAGGAAGCGGGGAGCAGGCAGCTGCATCGTGGCCCCTGCCATTCCCTCCCTCCAGCAGAGTGCCAGCTCCTGGTTGGATCCCACACTAAAGGAGTGACCTCAGGCCAGGCTTGCCTTTGGGTTGCCCTGGCCCCCAGGCTGAGGGCAAAGTCCTTACTTGTTCCCTCTCTCTCCTCGGAGACAAAACGAAGCCACCTGAGTGGGAGATGCACCTGCTGTGAATGTTACATGGCTCCTGTGGCAAGCACTGCTGGCTTCTCCCTGTACCCCCTCCTCCCTGCTGCTGGAAACTGTGTTTTGAGTTTCAGAAGAGCCCTTTTGGGGCTGGTGCTGTGGCATTAGTAAGGCCACCTCTTAGCAACTCAGGCATTCCATATGGGTACCAGTTCAAGTCCTGGCTGCCCCACTTCCGATCCAGCTCCCTACTAATGCACCTGGGAAAGCAGCAGCAGATGACCCAGGTGCTTGGGCTCCTGTGCTTACCTGGGAGACCTGGATGAAGCTCCTGGCTTCAGCCTGGCCCAGTGCTGGCCATTGTGGCCATCTGGGGAGTGAACCAGTACATGGAAGGTCTGTCTCTCTCTAACTCTGACTTTTAAAATAAATTAAAAAATCTTAAAAAAAAAAAAAAAAGCCCTTCTCCAATTGGCCTTGCCAGTGACCTGGCTCATTTTTAGTCTCAGCCCCATCTCTAGTGAAACAAGGTCATCTCCACCATGGCCAAGGTCCAGGGACAACCTCCCATCCCCCCCTACAAGGAGGACAGGACACTGGGTCCAGGGCATCCTACTGACCTCTCTGGAGGAGGCGGTGCCTCAGAGGACCTGACAGCTCCGAGGCTGGGCCTGGAGCACTGACGCTGGCCACACGCCAGCCTGCCTTCCACAGCCGCTTCCGAACGGGAGACCGTGCTGCTCTCACAGCGACACTTGCCAAAATCACCCTCCTCCTGTGACCCACGGGACCAGAGTTTGGGCCTTCCCCTCAGAGCAGAGCCTCTGCACTGCCCCCTACCTCCTCCAGCCTCCAGCAGGGATGTCACTGAGGGCCAGCTTCCTCCAAGCAAGTGTCAGAGGCCACCACGCAGCCCTCCTGTCGCCTGTGCTGGCTGCATGTTCTTGGACTCAGAGGTAAACGAGGCTGGCTGTGCCCTGTGCGGTCCCTTGGGGGTAGCCATAGGTTACTAAGGGTGTGACCACTCTGCAGGGGACTGTGGGCCATTCAGGCAGGCTGGAGGCAGAGTGGGGTTGTGCATCAGGCAAAGAGGTAAGAGAACTCCGGGTGGGTAGAGCGCAGCACCTAGTCCTTTGGGGCCGAGGCTGGGCGGGGAGCGGGAGGTGGGGCCTGCCCTGGCTGGAGATGCCACGGCCTGCTCTGGGGCGAAGGCAGCACCTCTGTGTGTTTCTCTCCTGTCCCACTTCCTGTGGACTCTGGGCTGGAGGTCTGGTGACTGCCCTGGGTGACAGGTTTTAGCCTTGGTGTGCCTCAGCTGGTGGTGGGGTGTGTTTGTGGGGGTGGTGAGGTGAGGGTGGGGCCGGTGCCGCTCAGCTCCCCAGGGCCCCTCACCTGGACCAGGGCCCTGCGAACAAAGGACTCCTTGAACAGGAAGATGTCGTCTGTGCAATTGTTGAACCTCTCCACGCTGTGCCTGGCTGCGGCCAGGACTCCAGGGTCATCCGTCTTGATGGTCTCGGGGAATCCTGGCTTCAGGCCCGAGTTAAGATCTTGGGAACAAAAATCTGAAAAACAACGAGATGAGCACAACAATGATCGCGGGAGCCTTGCAGTGGGTGCCATGCCTTGTGCCTGGGCAGGCCCCCTCTCCTACCCACCCCACCCCACCCACCCCATAATGCCTTTGTTGTGTTTCCCTTAGCACCCCTGCTCCCCAACCCCCGCAGCAGGACCTGTGGACAGGATGTGGCCTGGGGTGTTAGGGGAAGGGCCCCCGGCCTCCACCCCTCTGCATGCCCCAGCCTAGTGGGTCACGTGGTAGTGCTGACCTGGTCCTGCCTCCCCACTTGTGCACAGCTCTCTGGCTTCTCTGTGCCCAAGCCCTTGCTGGGGATGACGGCCGCTGAGCCCAAGTGTAGGCAGCTGCAGTTCTGTGTCTTTTCCACGTCTTCCCATGCGAGGGAGGCATACTCGGCTTCCCTCCCAGCCGCATCTCAGCGTCCGTGCCAGAGCTGGACCCTGGCATCCCTTTGACTGCCAGAGAGCCGAGGTGGCAGATGGCCTGGGGTCTGGCTCGGGGGAGACCCTGAGCTGCTCGCTCCTTTGTCCAGCTTCTTTCTAGCCCTTTCCTGCCCCCTCCTCCTGCTGGGCACGCAGAAGCTTCTTACGGTGTCCTGCAAAGCAACACGCAATGAAAGCATCAGCATGGCAAGAAAGCAGAGCAAGTGAGGTGGGGGAGTCGGGGTGCAAGGTGCGTCTGTGGGGGTGCTGGTCTGAACAGATCTGTAGGGAGACTCCAAGGGCCCTGTTCTGAGTTGAGGACTGAGTCCCAGCACTCAGCAGAGCAGGACAGCTGAAGAGGGGTCTGGAGAGCTGGGGGAGGGGCAAGGTTGGGCCAGGCACTGGTGTCTGGTCCTTCCAGGCACAGAATTTGCCTTTTATTACAAAGCGGAGGGGGCCAGTGCTGTGGCGTAGTGGGTAAAGCTGCCACCTGCAGCACCGGCATCCCATATGGGCGCTGGTTCTAGTCCTGGCTGCTCCACTTCTCATCCAGCTCTCTGCTGTGGCCTGGGAAAGCAGAAGATGGCCCAAGTCTTTGGGCCCCTGCACCTGCTTGGGAGACCTGGAGGAAGCTCCTGGCTCCTGGCTTCAGATTGATGCAGCTCTGGCCATTGCGGCCAACTGGGGAGTGAATCAGTGGATAGAAGAACCCCCGCCCCCACCTCTCCTCTCTGTGTAACTGACTTTCAAATACATACATCTTAAAAAAAAAAACCAAAGAGGAGATGAATGTGAGTGTTAACGCAGGCTTCATACAGCCACAAGTGAGTGCTGCCTCATGAGTGGCTTGAATCTGGGCTTCTCTATTTTTCACTTTGTCCATAAAAGTCATGAAGTGCTTATATGTTACATAAAAATTTAAAAGTTTTGGAAGAATTATAAGTACATTGGAAAGGGGACTGGGAGAATAGGGAAGAGGAGTTTTAGGTTTATAAATCTTTTTTCTTCCCCCCTTAAGATGTATTTATTTATTTGAAAGGCAGAGTTAGAGAGGGAGAGAGGTCTTCCATCAGCTGGTAAACTCCCCAAATGGCCGCAACGGCCAAGACTGTGCCAGATCAAAGCCAGGAGCTAGGAGCTTCTTCTGGGTCTCCCATGTGGGTGCAAAGACCCAAGAACTTGGGCCATCTTCCTCTGCTTTCCCAGGCACACTAGCAGGGAGCTGGATTGGAAATGGAGCAGCCGGGTCTCCAATCGGCGTCAATATGGGATGCTGGCGCAGCAGGTTGCAGCTTTACCTGCTATACCACAGCTCCAGCCCCTAAACCTTTTACTTCTTCAGAGTTTCCAGAACTATCAGTGTGCCAGAAGTGAGAGAGCCAGGCTGCATATAAGGCAGGTACTGGCCAGTACCACTGGCAAGCAGATTAACATGAAGAAACTTAATGTGAAAGTCCCTCCTTGGTGGTAGGGCCCAGGCGGGAGGTGGGGATACTCTAGCTGGCTCCTGGGTTAGGAAGAAATGGAAACTCCAGGGGGTCAGCCCTGTGGTGCAGCTGGCTAAGCCTCAGCCTGCCACACTGGCATCCCATATGGGCGTTGGCTCACAACCCTGCTGCTCCACTTCTGATCCAGCTCCCTGCTAATGCACCTGGGAAAGCAGTGGAAGATGCCCCAAGTGCTTGGGCCCCAACACTGGAGACCCGGAAGAAGCTCCTGGCTCCTGGCTTCAGCCCAACCCAGCTGGTGTGGCCATTTGGGGAGTGAACCAGCAGATGGAAGATCTATCTCTCTTTCTCTCTGTATCTTTTCTCCTCTCTGTAACTTTGCCTTAAAAAAAAAAAAAAAAGCCTTAAAAAGAAATAGCAGCATGAATCCAACAGGGGAAAGCAGATCTGAGTGTTCCCTGGGGATAACATGTCCCCTTCCCCAAAGGGACCCAGAGGAACACCTGTTACCTGGGCCTGGGGTTGGGTACTAGACAGTAGCTGCAGGCTGACCGGCTCCTTGTCCGAGAAAAGGTTGGGGCTGGAGGGTGCTCGGGGCTGTGCTGGCCACAGAGCAGTGCCGAGGCAGTGAGCACCTGTGCACGGATATAAAATGCTGAGTAGTTTGGAGAGGGGGCAGTGGACCTGGCGCCCTTTCCCTGGGACTCATGTCACACATGAGTGTCCTCAGAGGCCAGGCCCTGCCACAGACAGGTTTGAGAAAAGTGGAGGACTTGGCCACATAAGCACCTGGGCGTGTAGCTCCTTCCAACTCCTGTCCCTGAACGGCTTGGACCTGCTCCAGGGACTGAGGACAGACGGGGGTCCCTGCACCCCATCCCTGCTATCACCAGCGTTCCGTGCATTATGGAAATCTAGGGCCTCTCCTCTCCCTAGTGCTGAGGTTCAGAATGGGGGGCAAAGCTTCCAAGCAACCTGTGCTGTTTCTTACTTAAAAATGCATTTTTTCAGGGCTGGCGTTGTGGTAACAGGGGGTTAAGTCTGTAACATGGGCATCCCATAAGAGCGCCCGTTCAAGCCCCAGCTGCCCCACTTACAATTCAGCTCCCTGCTAATGTACCTGGGAAAGCAGTGGAAGATGGCCGTAGTGCTTGGTCCCCTGGTACCCATGTGGGAGACCAGGATGGAGTTCTTGCCTCTTCACTTCAGTCTGGCCCAGACCTGGCCCTTGCAGCCAATATGGGGAGTGACAGAAGATCTCTTTCTCTCCCTTTCTCTCTCTCTCTCTCTCTCTCTCTCTCTCTCTCTCTCTCTCTCTCTCTCTCTCTCCCCCTCCCTCCCTCCCTCCCTCTCTCCCTCTTCCCCCCCACCACTCCATCACTCTGCCTTTCAAATAGATCAGAAAATAAAAAATGTAAAAAGAAGCAGTTTTCCCACACACATTACAGGTGACTCCTGAAGTCCCCTTCCCCCGTGTTTCTCAGACCCCAAGCTCACCTTCTGGGTCATGTTCCACCTGTCCAGCTCCTACAGCCCACCTGGGCGGCCTCTGAATGGGCTTCATTTATTTTTTTTTTTATTTTTATTTTATTTTTTTTTATCTTTTATTTAATGAATATAAATTTCCAAAGTACGTCTCATGGGTTACAATGGCTTTCCCCCCCATACCGTCCCGCCCACCCACCACCCTCCCCTTTCCCACTCCCTCTCCCCTTCCATTCACATCAAGATTCATTTTCGATTATCTTAGTATACAGAAGATCAGCTTAGTATACCTTAAGTAAGGATTTCAACAGTTTGTTCCCACACAGAAACATAAAGTGAAAAATAATAGATGATTTTTTTTAAATGATGATGAAATCAGATCAGACCTATTGTCATGTTTAATCCCAGTGAGAGTCAAGTTGGGAATTGATAGTTTCTTTTTCTTTTTTTTTTTTTTAACAGAAGATCAGTTTAGTGTACATTAAGTAAAGATTTCAACAGTTTGCACCCCCATAGAAACACAAAGTGAAGTAAGCCAGTCCCAAAGGGACAAATACCATATGTTCTCCCTGATCGGTGACAACTGACTGAACACCAAAAAGGAAACCTCCTGAAGTGAAATGGACACTATGAGAAATGGTGACTTGATCAGCATAGCCCTGACTGCTAATGGACAACTTAATACATTATCCCTCATAGTATTTTTTTTTGTCTGTTCTACTTAATATGACTGGTTTAATTCTGTAATTATCACACAGTTATTCTTAAGTGTTGAAAATTAACTGAAATGTGATCCCTGTTAAACATAAAAGTGGGTATAAGAGAGGGAAGAGATGTATAATTTGGGGCATGCTCGGGCTGACTTGCCCCAATTGGTAGAGTTGGAAACATACTAGGGGATTCCAATTCAATCCCATCAAGGTGGCATGTGCCAATGCCATCTCACTATTCCAAGTGATCAATTTCAGTTCACAATTGATCATAATGAAAGGACTAAGAGTCAAAGGGAGCACATAAACAAGTCTAGTATCTGCTAACACTAACCGATAGAATAAATAAAGGGGAGAGTGATCCAACATGGGAAGTGAGATACTCAGCAGACTCATAGAATGGCGGATGTCCTAAATAGCACTCTGGCCTCAGAATCAGCCCTAAAGGCACTCGGATCTGGCTGAAAAGCCCATGAGAGTATTTCAGGCATGGAAAGCCAAGACACTCTGGCAAAAAGATCTCTGTGAGTGAGATCCCAGTGGAAAGAACAGGTCTTCAAAGAGGGAGGTGCCTTTCTCTGAAGGGAGGAGAGAACCTCCACTTTGACTATGACCTTGTCTAAACAAGATAAGAGTCGGAGAACTCAAGGGGCTTCCATAGCCTTGGAAACTCATGACTGGTGCATAGGGAGATTAATGATGCCATAAACAGGAGTGTCAATTTGTAAAGTCAACAACAGGAGTCACTGTGCACTTACTCCTCATGTAGGATCTCTGTCCTTAATGTGCTGTACACTGAGGCTTAATGCTATAATGAATGGGCTTCATTTAAATGCAGGACACACACATGATGCGTATGGACCCTTCACGACCACCTCTGAGATCTGAACTGCAATGCAGGCTCCGACCTGCAGGTGGCACCAAAGCTTGGGGCCACGGTCAGTGACCAGGGCTTGAGTTCCCCAGTGATACCACCCACTGGGCAGGCCCCCTGTCCTCCAAGAAAAGACCGGCAAATAGTGCTGCAGCGGATTCATCTGGGCCTCTGTGACACGGCGGTCACGAGGGCGTGTGTAGGGGAAGATGCAGTGGGGAGCACCTGCATGTAGCAGGGAAGGGGTGGGTTCTGTGGAAGCTGTACCTTCCTCTTTTAGGAGTATTCTAGGTGTGACCCCAGCGGGGTGGGGAATCCCAGTGTGTGAAGCCACCCCCACCCCCGAGGGATCCCAGGCACTGGGCACTGAATACGGGCAGCCTTGCTAGTCTCCTCTGTGTCCCATGTCTCCTGGGCTGGGGAGACACCGTGTTCGGGGCCGAGGTGCTGCTGGGGCTCTCAGGGAGGACCCCTGCTAGCCCCCACTCCCGTCTCTCAGGGCTTACAGTCTGGAGGCCTCACCCAAGGACTGGGGTGGTAGGAAGTGAGTGTCCAGTTCAGGGGGACTGTGTCCATTCTGCCCCCTCCCACTGCCCCGGGGGATGAGTCCCTCAGCTCATCCATGCTCCTCTGCTCCTCTCACCTGATGCCATCAAAGCTGAATTGGGGTTCACGCCATCAATTGCAAGGGTGCACAGGTCCCCATGTGAAGAGGGATGAGCAGGTTCATGCTGCCAAGGGCACACGTGTCCCCTTATCTCTCCCTGGATTAGTCCTGGCCTTGGTTCACTGGCACCTATGCAGGGTGGGAGTCCCAACCCTGCCTCTCTCGGGCTGTGCAGCCCTGAGTGAGCTGCTTAACCTCTCTGAGCTTTCACATCTTCATCTGGAACTCGGGGATGATGATGGCAGCAACCTCACAGCGGGTGGTGAGAAGGAAGGAGACACCGCATGGGGCACACTTAGCAGTGGACGATGTGCAGTAGTTATCAATACGCCAGTCTGGCCACCGAGAGGGGCTCTAAGAGCAAGCAGACATGCCCTTGGGGAACAGAAATCAGCACTGGGAAGAAAGGATGCAGTGGTTCCCTGACCTCCTGGCCTGGAGGGGGCGCTGTCTCTCCATGTAGGGCATAATGCTCCCAGCCCGAGATGCTTATGACCAAAGAGTGACAGCACCTTGAGGATGAAAGAGGAGACAGCTGACCCCAGGTCAGGTCCCTGCCCTGGCTGGAGGGGGCAGGGGTAGGGCATGGCTGGCAGCCCGTGGGGCTTCCTGGAAGAGACGCCAGCCTGGAGGAGAAAGAAGCGCATTTTGCTTGTAATCTACAGCTAAAGGGTAGCGGGAAGCCGTGTGGCAATTTCCTGTGTCCTGGAGGGCCCTGGTGGACAGGTGCTGTGAGGGTTCAGCTTCTAGCTCACGGGTGCTGAGAAAAGCCAGATGCCCATAGGGCCCCACCCTGGGGTCCCTGCTGTCCTCGTTCTCACCCTCCCCCTCCCTCCAACACCAGCAGGTTCTGGGATCCGTTGTCAGATGAAGCAAGAGAGAGGCTGCAGGGCTGCAGGCTGAGGTGGGGGCCCAGGTTCCCCTGTCTGTCCTCCCCGGCCGGGCAGAGGGGCTTCCAGGCGCTCACTCTGGCCTGCCAGAATCCCCAGAAACAGCTGTGGTGCTGGGGTCCAGCTCATGGGCCCAGACTCTGGCAGCCAGGCCAGCTCAGGCCAGCCCAGGCCCATCGCAGGCCACCACACCTCTACTCCCTGAGCCGCTTCTGCTCAGCCCCTCTGGGCCCAAGGTGGGGATGCACGTGGTCATTTTCCCATTTCATAGATGATGGAATTGAGCCTTGGGAACATTCCAAGATCCCGCAGCTATGGGGCAGGAGGGCAGTCTGGGGTGCTTTGAGGTTTCCTATGCCGGTATGGGCTCCGCCTCCTCCATCTGGGGTTCAGTGGCCGAGACCAGGTTTGAACGGGGAGGCCCTCTGGGCCAGCCAAAGAGAAAGCAGGACCTGGATATGCCAATAAAGTCCAGCTGTCAAGGGGTGCCCCCGCCCCAGTCCTGTCCCTGCCCTGGCCCTGCTCTGTTGGAGACTTCAGAACCTTAAGGGTAATTCCTCCCAGGCACCACCAGAGGGCAGCCTCTCCAGGAGACTTCTTCACTGTGCATAAGCAGCTGCCCCCACATCTCCCCTGGATGCACACCAAACACAGCAGCAGGCTGGGGTCAGGACAGGGCAGGGGCAGAAGCCCCCCTGCCTCCGTGGCCTAAGCTGATATCGGGTGTCCTGCTGACTCTGGGCCTCCAAGTGTGGGCCACGTGTTTGTGGGGAAGGTGGGGGGAGATCACCCCGGGGGACACACCCCATGGCTTGTCCCCCTCACTGACAGCGGAAGCTGCACCCCCACACCAGCCCTGTTCTCCAGGTCCCCAAGTCACAGCACTCACCCTGCACCCTTAGGTGTAAGAAACTGACGGGCCCCCAGCGTCACTGAGCCCTGATGTCCAATTCACCGTTGGGGGGGAGGGGGAGTGTGAGGCCGTCCACGAACCTGTGGTCTTGGGTACCCTCATCTGGTCACCTTTGGTCAGACTCTGGCCCCAGAGTGGGTGCTGTCCCCGCTGCTGGGCCCTGGGCTGCGGGGAACTTGAGTAGGTCCCAGCCCTCTGGCACCTGCTGCTTCCTCGCCCCTCCACGGTCTATGCGGGCAGCAGAGGGCACTACCCAGCTCCCTCCGCCAGCAGGCAGGCAGGTGCTCCTTGGCTGTGTTACCTGGGCAGGTGGCCACTCATCCAGCTGTGCCTCTCTGTTTGTCTCCTCTTCCTCCTCGCCCCTTCCCCTGTGCTGACCTCCGGGGTGCAGACTTAGGGTCCCTGCGGCCAGGTGAGGGGACAGAGAGGAACAGTGCACAGCAGGCGCACCCTCTGAATGCTGCCTCCGCACGGTCCCGCGGGCTCCAAGCCGGGAAAGTGAGACCCCAGGCGAGGAGGAAGCTTGGTCAGTCTCTGGAGGCTGGGGGCAGCCAGGGGAGATTCCCCCTTACCTGGGGAACGGGCTCCTGCGGTGAGCACCACGAGGCAGCAGAAGGCAAGCAGCGCCCTGGCCGGCCGCATGACTGCGGGGCAGCTGCACTGCAGGTCGGTGAGCGGTGCTGGGCTAGAGTGCAGGGAGCCGAGCCTGCCCTATAAACCCCCACCTCCACCTTGCGCAGGGGCTGGGCCAGGGCGGGGCTGGGGGGGGGGTGCTTGCTCCAGGCTGGGGAGGGGGTGGCGTCTTGCTGAGTCATTTCGCCCAGAAGCGCTTCATTGCCGCCTCCCTCTCGACCACAACTGGCAACCGCTTCCTTTACAAAGTTTCCAGGCAGCGATAGTTTGCAGGGGAGGAGGAGGAGAAGTGAGACCTGCGAGGGAGCCCGGTGCAACGCCCTCCCGTGCGCTCACGGGGAAGGCTAATGTCTTCAAGAATCCGCGGGGATTTTCAGAAGCCGCGTCGTGTGGTTTTCCTTCTCCAATCGTTCTTCCTCCCTCAATTCCGGCGTTCTGGCCCCCCCCACCCCACCCGGGGGTTGGGACGGGGCGAGAGGCTCAGAGCCTGAGCTTCATCTTGTACGCACTGTGTCAGCCGCAAGTGGCTGATCACTTCCCTTCTCTGGTTCCAAGTCAGCAAAGCAGAGCGAAGAATGGTTTGTGGCTCCAAGGACCTGGACCGCGTGGTCTATGTACATGCCCCGGGGCAGGGGGCTAGGAGGGGGCTTTGGAGACAGACCCCCTCCCCCACCCCAGTTTTAGTACCACTCTGCCGCTGCAAACCTGGGTGATCTCTGGCAAGGTGCCTCAGTTTCCCCCGGTGGCTGCTGCAGTGTCAATGCTCCCGGCTTGGCGTGGAGCAAGCTGCTTCGGAGGGGTCCTGTCCAGACAGGTTGGAGACACCTGAGTCGGAGCAGGGAGACCCGTGTGCACAGGGCTGGCGTCACCCAGGGTGGCTGGGTCAGGGCCCTCACTTTTAACCCAAATCTCAGGGAAAGCGCTGCCCCTACTTCCGCCCCTGGCCCTTCTTGCTTGTACCAGGTTTCAGGCAAGGGGCTGTGGGTTTGTGGGTCCTGGGCAAAGAGCATCATCTCTCAGCTTCTTGCTTCTGAGATCTGTTGTGAGGACTGTGATGGCGGCCACCGTGATGGCAGGCAGCACGGCTCCAGGTATGGTGGCTGCTGTGACCCCTCCCCCCTCCCCATGGCTGTGCCTGGCCCTGGGATCCTCCTCTGGCTGAGACCAAGCAGGAGGCAGGGAGGCAGACTTGATCCCAGGTTGCTGCTGCACTGAGTGTCCTGTTACCCTCCGCTTCATGGGCACTGGACAAAGCTCAGGGTGGTTAGGAGACACCCCAGCACCCAATGTCTTCTCCTAGCTGCAAGCCCTTTCATCCATGAATGCGGGGTGCTGGGCTCCCCCATCCTGTGGCCTCATCTCCCCCAGAGCTGCTGGGCAGGCAGAGGCGCAGGGCGGCCCTGGGTAAGTCACAAGGTGCACCCTCAACCTGCCTCACTCAAGTAAGAGGGCATTCTCCCCTCCCCTCCATGTCTTGGACCTGGGACATTGACCTTGTGTTTCTGGACTGGACTGGAACTGACATCCCTGGCCTTCCTGGTGCTTGGCCTCAGCCTGTGATTTACACCACTGGCCTGACCTGAGCCTGTGTGGCTGCGTGAGCTGACGCCTGACTACGAATGTCCATTGTTTGAGAGAGCTCCACGGATCTGCTCTCTGGAGAACACGGATGAGCACAGATTGGGTATCAGAGTGGGTTAAAGGAATAGACTTTTTTTTTTTTTTTAAGATGTATTTATTTATTTGAAAGTCAGAGTCACACATGGAGAGATAGAGAGGCAGAGAGAGAGAAAGGTCTTCCATCTGCTGGTTCACTCCCCAAATGTCTTCAACAGCCAGAGCTGCACTGATCTGAAGCCAGGGCCAGGAGCTTCCTCCAAGTCTTCTATGTGGGTGCAAGGGCCCAAGGATGTGGGCCATCTTCTGCTGCTTTTCCAGGCCATAGCATAGAGCTGGATCAGAAGTGGAGCAGCTGGGACTCGAACTGGCGCCTAAATGGGATGTTGGCACTGCAGGCCACGGCTTTACCTACTATGCCACAGCACAGGCCCCGAACAAATTTTAAGAAGGAGTTTTATAAACTGGTTCTGGAGTTTTTCAAATTGGCTCTCTCACCTGATTATCTTTAAAGACAGTTGATGAGGGGCTGGCATGTGGCACATCTATATCTGAGCGCTGGTTCAAGTCCTGGCTACTCTGCATCTGATTCACCTCTTTATGAATCCACCTGGAGAAGGAGCAGAAGATGGCCCAAGGCCTTGGGCCTCAGCCTCCCACAGAGGAGACCAGGAGGGAGTTCCAAGCTCCTGGCTTTGGCCTGGCCCAGCCCTGGCTGTTGCAGCCATCTGGAGAGTAAACTAGCAGTGGAAGATCTCTCTCCTCTCTCACCCTTTCAAATAAACACATGCATCTTTACAAAGACTGCTAATGAATCTCCCTTCTCTGCAGTTTTGGTTTTCCATGGCCAACCGCAGCCTGGCAATATTGAATGAAACTTTCCAGAAGTAAGCAACTCGTAAGGTTTAAACTGTGTGCCATTCTGAGGAGTGTGATGAAATGTCCTGCCACTGTGGCCTCTTCACGCTGGTCGCTTGGTGGCTGTCCCGGTTATCAGATGGGCTGTTAGGGCATGGAGCTGCCTGTGATGAAATGGCCGTTATTTTACTCAGCAGTGGTGTGGAAGGGCAAGCGTGGAGACATGGGCCGTGCAGATACGCCAGGGAGAAGCCATAGGGTGTTTCGTATAAGCGAGAAGGTGAGAGCTTCAGCTGAATTCACAGGGACAGAAGTGTGGACTGAGCTTGTTAACATTTACAGTAAGAACAAATCTCCCCACTGAGCAGCTGTGAGGAAGGAAGAACTCTGGGCTGTTTTTTTTTTTTTTTAAGCTTTAATTTATTTATTTGAGAGGTAGAGTTGTAGACAGTGAGAGGGAGAGAGAGAGAGAGGTCTTCCATCCACTGGTTCACTACCCAAATGGTTCTGGAGTTTTTCAAATTGCAACAGAGTTGCACTGATCAGAAGCCAAGAGCCAAGAGCTTCTTCTGGGTCTCCTATCTGGGTTCAGGGGCCCAAGGACTTGGGCCATTTTCTACTGCTTTCCCAGGCCATAGCAGAAACCTCGGTTGGAAGTGGAGCCACTGGGACTCAAACCAGTGCCCGTAAGGGATGTCGGCACTGCAGACTGGGGCTTTAATCTGCTGTGCCACAGCACCAGCCCCTATATGCATGATTTAGTGCTATCTGTGGTTTCAGGCATGCACAGGGGTCTTGGGAACTTATACCCTGTGGGAATGACTGCATTTCTGGTAGTAAGGGAGCACTGATAGTTACAGAGAGAGGCAGAGGCAAGAGAGACATAGAACCATCTGCTAGTTCACTCCCCAAATGGCCACAAAAGTCAGAGCTGAGCCCTTCTGAAGCCAGGAGCCAAGAGCTTCTTCCGGGTCTCCCCCATGGGTGCAGGGGCCCAAGCACTTGGGCCATCTTCCTCTGCTTTCCCAGGCACACTAGCAGAGAGCTGGATTGGAAGTGGAGCAGCTGGGACTCGAACCGATGTCCACGTGGGATGCTGGTGCTGCAGGCCTGGGCTTTAACCTGCTGCGCCACAGGGCCAGCCCCAGGGGAAGCACATTTGTGAGTGGATTCCCTAGTATCCTTGGAGAGCACTGTCATCCCTCTTCTATGTAGGGTAGACTTGACAGCGGGAACAAGCAGCCACTCAGCTGAGTGAACTACTGGAGAGACAAAATCTCTCTGATCCCCATGCTTGCTCTTCTTCCTTCTCTCAGCCTCTGGGAGCTTCTCGAACTCAGGTGGGGTTTGCAGGTGACTACCTGAGATGTATAGACACAGCGCGATATCCCCTTGCTGGGGATCCGCTCTCTGGGATGTGATGCAGGGAATTTTGAACCACGAGCCAGGCTGTGTACTGTGCTCAGACCAGTACCAGACCTGCGATAGTCTCCCAACTCAGGGGCTGTGGTCAATGGTTTTGGCTGGATGACCACAGACGTGGAAGGAACATGATTAGACGACCGGTGACAGGGGCTGACATTGTGGTGTAGCGGGTAAAGCCGCTGCCTGCAACGCCAGCAACCCATATGGGCACTGGTGATGTAATTGGAAATGCAAATGGGAACAGACTTGCTTAGCACCTGGCAGAATCCCCCAGTGGCTCCCGGACCTGTGGAGTGAGGGTTTAAGGGTAAGGTCAGGTGGAAGCTTCTAGAACTGCCTCTGCACAGGAGCATAGCAAACCGAAAGCAACACCACATGCCTGGAGGGATGGCGGAGATTCATGTACCTCACCTCCCCCGCCCCCTCCCCACTGCCCCCAGCTCTCCTCCTCGCCTGTGTAGTAGAGAGATGGGTTCCAGGTGATAACGCCAATCACAGCTATTGCACCAGATGCGATTTCTTTGCTCCAGGAAATGCACGAATCCCCTGGCACCTGGTGCGCAACTTTTGATCTGGCAGATGCCTGCTTGTCCATGCTCGTTCACAGAAACCACCAGAAACAGCTTTCTCTCAGCCTCCCTCTGGGGGCATGAACTTCCCAGTCCTGTGTCACAGTGCAGGACACAGGGATCCCGACTGCTTTTCTCAGCCACCAGGCATCATCCCGGTCCGTTAGGTTCAGGACAGGATGCAAATGGACCCAGGGAGCAGCACCGTGGACTGACTGTGAGACGTTAGTGTGACAGAGCTTGTTAGTGGGTCATAGCAGATACTGTTCACTTGACCACGGGCCACCAAGTTAACCATGGGACCATTGCCGACCTGGCTGAGTGCCCCCTCTGTGAAGGGCCCTGTCCAATATGCATGGGTGCTTATGTTAGTGCCATGTCCCTCTGTGTGCAGTATCCATTACTCATGGGTCAGTGTTTCTGTGTGTGCTCCCGGGGCATGGGTAAAAGGCTTCCTATGTGTGTATCTCTGCATGTGTGTGAGCATGTACATGTTAGCGTACATACATGGACATGGTGTGCCTGTATCACTGTGTGTGTGCATGTGTGTGATGGTGATGTGTACTATTTCTATCCCATCCAGGAATAGCAGAACTGCTACAGGAGTACTGGGCTGTATACAGAATTCTTTGGCACT